GATAGTGGAATCCATTAATTATTGAGATGACACAATTGTTACTCAGGTATTTTCCTAGGCAACTTATTGTTGGACTTTATATTGTGATTTGATCACAACGAATTTGCCGTATGAAAATGAAACTTAGAGGATAATACATGTTGAAGGGAAAAATGGTCATTTTGTCAATTTCAACATATTGGTGGTCAAATGGGGGTTGACTTGTGGAACGTTAATCAAAAGATATTGTTATTGGATCATAATTTGCTTCTATAACTATCACTCAACTCGAGAGTGCAATCTCGATTTTTTGGTAGAATAAATCAGGATTGATAGATATATCTCAATTAGTTAAGAGTTGACCCAATTAGAAATATTTATTGGATTTTGGGTCATATGAGTCCGGACTATGTCTCTCTCTTGGTCTCAATAAAAGGTGTGTGACTTAATTGTTCTACTACAATAAAGTCTAAGGAAGTTTGTGCAATTTCAAAATCCTAATTGAGCATTTTATATTTCTACAAGATTTAGGATTAGCCACTTTTCATTTTCCCAAAAGGAAATAACCTAAAGGAGAACAAGGGAGAAGATCTAATGAATGAAGCATTTGACTAGGCCGTTAAAAACTTCTTCAAAGGTTATCATCTTCTCAATCTATTTGTGAAGATTTTATAATCAAATGATCTCAAGGTTACCAAAATCCTTATTATCATGGTTTTAATTTTCAAAGGAAAATTAATTTCCTATTGTGATGATTAAATCCATTAACCAATAATTTCTCTCCATAGAAAATTAATTAATTAATGAATTCTATAAAATAATTAAAGTTGACCTTATATTTTTTTTCTCCAGAACTTAAAAGTCAAGTGTTTTAGCAAAAAAAAAATAGAAAATAAAAAAATAAAAGTGTTTCACATAGGTAAGAAAAAATAAAAACTTCAAGATAATTAAAATATATATATATAAATCTAACTTTCATAAACGCCCATGGTCAACTAAACTCTTTAACTTTTAGCCCCTAAAGGCCATGTTGAGTGAAAGTCTAACTTTTAGGTAACTCTGGAATGTCATTCTAGTTCCACTCGTATATTGCTTGACAATGTAATGTTGAGCTATAATTCAGCTTGCTAAGTTAAGGATTGATTCGTATAACTTAAAATACTTAGAGGTTATTCTTAACCAGAGTGATTGAAAAACTTGGTATAAGGAAGTCGTTTTTAGGGTTAACCTCCGGTATGGATAGGATGACCTAAAGATTATTACTTCCTTTAAAAGACTAGTGTTGTAAGTTATGTCATCTAGAACATGGGTAATTCTTGAATTGATTTCGAAATGAGTGGATATTGTAATGATGCTTTATGTCCCACATCAATAAATCAAGACAAAATTCATGCATTTATAGCGACTTGAATACCCTCTTAATTACAAGCCAATTTTATAATTGACTTCTCCCCAGTTTTGTTTAACATTTTCGGTAAAAATCACTTAACAGAAGATTTAAGCATCTATGGCTGTGATTTGTCTGAAGATTAATCCCTTTCAAATTTCCATTGATGAAATATTGAATTTTTTGGGTTCAGCCTATTCTCTTATTAAATTATTTCATTAATCATTCTTCAATATAGACGTACTATTGTACTAAATTCTTTAATGAAGTTTGCAAATTCAGAAAGTGAAACATTAAATAGCATTAAAGTTGATTAAAATTTTAATGTTAGTAAATAGTTAAAATTAATTGAGTACTGCTATTTATCATGATTGGTGATTAATTTAAGTCAATGTGGTAGTGGGTCACTTTCACTTATAATAATCAATGGTGATAGATAGCATCAATCAATGGTTTGGTCTTGGGACCCAACTTCTTAAAGATTTGCATTAATGTGAGTTAATAATCCAAATGGTCACTGAATTTTGTAAAATGCTTTCACGGGTTTACTGAACTTTAAAAATCACCCAAGTCATGACTGAACTTTGCAAAAGGTTTTTATGGGATCACTGAACATTAAAAATCATCTCATTTATCACTAAATTTTGTAAATAGTTTCTCAAGGGATCACAAATTCAGTGACCCCGTGGAAGTCTTTTGCAAAGTTTGGAGAGTAATGGAGTGATTTTCGTAGTTTAGTGACCTATGTAAATCTTTTGTAAAATTCAGTGATGACTTGGGTAATCTTTAAAGTTCAATGACCTCGTGAAAACTTTTTGTAAAATTCAGTGACCATTTGGGTTATTAACCCGGATTAATGTTGTGTAGCACCAATGTGTTTAGACTGAAGAGGCCCTCGCTTAGATGGAGATAGGATTGATAGTGAAAAAATAAACCAAAACAATGCACTCAATAGTCATTATTCGTTTGGTACAAATTATAAATTTTCCTGGACGACATAATCAATGAAACTTCAATTTTTTTTTCCTTATGTGGTCATACAACGGTATTTATTAACATTGCAAAACACGTCCAACAGATGGGGCGGTTACAACATGGGATCGGAACTAGTACTCTAAAATTTCTAGATTCATCCAACGTGCATGCTGATGTGCCCCATTTAAAATCAGAAAATTGTGTTAATACACTCATACAGCTGGATCGAAAACCTAAATTACCTATATGGTTTTGTCAAGCATGTGATTTTGATCGATGACTGAATTTGTTGGATTAGAGCAGAGGTGCAGTTGGTCCATTGAGGTCTTTCCCTTCTCCCTGCTAAGTAATTATGATTTCAATTGTAATTTACACTTGATTAGTTTGGTGCGGTGATTAAGCTGAGAGATTTAGTACCTGTTGAGATTTTACACTTGGTTAGTTTCTTAGGCTGATCGAGTTGAGAGGTATCGAGCATAAAGGCTCATCATTTGGATAAACTCGTCGCACTAACTATAGAAATCTAAAGTGCATTATATGTAAATGCTACAAAATTTTCGGTTCTACATCAATTATACCTTAAAAAAATTTGTCTACAAAATTTACCATGTGGTAAGGCAAAGAGTGTTGGATACTTGGTTTTGATTTCTTTCTCTTTCCCAAGTATCCCTTTCACTCTTGGAGAAGCCATTGAAATTCGATCGACTAGATTTCCTTATTTCTTAACTTATCTACTTTTCTTTCTAATACAATGATTGGTGATTCTTCACAAGACAAGTCTTTTTGCACAGATCTTGAGCTTCTTGCTGACTCTCCTGAATCGAAAGATCTCTTATCTTCGAGGTGAGGATGACCTCATAAATTGGTTTGCCATAGAATTCGTCTATGAAAGGGTATAAAAAAACGAAAAGAAAAATATAGGCTAGGCGTAAGTTACCTCCTATTAATGAATTGTAAGTATCTATCTATAATATATTTAAAAAAAAAAAAATTAACGCGGAGATCTATTATCACTTTACATCTTTCTTGGTATATCCAGATAATTGGTAGGAGTGTAAACTGAAATATTCTGGAGCTACAAAGATAGTTATCAAATCATTAGCACCGCATAAAAACATTCAACTAATGATTCACAATATCGATGGGATCGTGCAAGTATTTCCTAGTTATTGATACATGAAATACATTTTGCACTACTATTCGGGTGATGGAGCCTAACAATATGACAAATTACCAACCCTTTCAAGTTTTGAAAGGCCCAATATATCATGGTGCCAGTTTTCCCTTATTCCCAAATTTGAGGACACCCTTCACTGGTGCTACCTTCAAAAAAACTTCATCTCCTATCTTAAATTCCAGATCCCTTCTTGTCTTAGAAGGATAGCTTTCATGTTTGTCTTGTGATGCTTTTATTCCGAGCCTAATCTTGTCAACGACCTCAACTGATCAACAATTTCTAGATCCAAAATTCTATTTTCTCCAACTTCCTCTCAATGAACAGTGATCTCCACCTTTTGCAATATAGATCCTCATATTGTGTCGTTCCTATAATAGCTTGGAAGTTGTTATTATAGGCAAAATCCACAAGTGTTAGGTGTGATTCTTAACTGCCTCCTAGATCCTAACAAGCTCGAAGCATATCCTCGTAAAATTTGAATGGCCGTTTACCAATTCCAATCATCTTCTCTATCTCATATTTAACTTCCTTTAAGAAAAGAGGAATTTGAGACTTTTTGGCCAGTGTAAACATTAGACTTTTTCCATTAAAATAATGACATCATATGTTTAGTCCATGAACCGTCGCAAGTTACATGTCATGCACTAGATAGTTCGGCTCGCATTGGCAATCACCTCTCCTATTGCACCAGTACACATCCCAGGCCCTGCTTGGAACCATTCTCCAGTCGAACCTTCGGGAATTCCTAATATTAGAGCTATAAGCCTGTAACCGGTTGCTGCTTCAACTTCTGATAATTATGTTCACATTTATCTGTCCATTGAACGAATTGTCTGAGATTCTTACAAAAGAAAAATGAAATTGTTGTTTTTAATTCAAGTATGTACTCCACTCCATGGATATAGTTGAAATTTACGGCTCCAAAGTTCTCATTCATTAAAACTGTCAATAACATTATAAATGATTTTTTGACATACTATTCTATATTATTTCTTCATAATAGATTATAGATTATAGATTTGGATTTGAAGAATGCATGATAAAGCACTCCATATCTTGTGCGGTAAAATTTTAAATTTGAAAGTAATCAACAATGATGTTACAAAATCACGTGCATTGCACATCACATGTTCTACCCTTGTAATTCTAACTGGGACTTAGTCTGAATTCCACTATTTTTATTTTTATTTTGATATATTTATATTACATGTTTGAGTGTGATTCTACGTTGATTATGTTTATTTCTATTCCTCCAATATATACTATAGTTTATAATTTTAAAATGTCGTAGAAAAATATAATAGTTAATCTTGTAAATTGCATGCTTTTATTAAATTAAGAATTAAAAAATGTGTAACAAAACGAGCATGATTGTATTTGGAAAAAATTAAATTGAGTTAATGAATACAAATTAAATGATATACTAATTGAATTCAGTTAATGTCGTATAAAGAGGTACAAAAATGAACTAGCTATAATATATAGGGATAATTATAAACTCACTTATATGATTTTAAAACAGATAAAAAAATTTACATCCGTCAAACCTGAAGTAATCTGCAAATTAATAGTATCTAGATTACTTATACAATGCAACAAACTGATCATAGTTCAAAAAAGAACATCTAAACTAACCAGTCTAATCAAATATAAATCCATGATGAAAACTACATAGATTGCTCAGATCATAGAGCTATTCAATGCTGCATTAAATCGGCTGAACACCACCTTCAGAGGGACGCAAGCTAGAACTGGTTTGGTGAGCATGTTGATCACTGGGATCTCCTCTGGCTCTGGCAAATCCGCAAGTGAAACAAATTCCGTAGTCTTTTTTGAAGAACCCCTGTGCTTCTTTGATTTTGGAGATTTCACTGGTGGGGCCAGGAGCTGCAACGTGATATTTTTAGCGGGTCGCCTCTTTTCAATAACCATGCCGTCTTCTAAAATGTCAACATTAAGTGGGTGGCCAACGATTGATTCACCTGTAACTTGCTCATTAGAGAAATATTTGGAACATTTTGTGGTTGGTAGTGCATGTTCACGTCGAGAGTAACATCGTACAAGCCAGAGTCATCTTTATCGTCTCCAGGATAAAAATCCACCTGGTCATACTTCATATTGACATTAGAACGTGACTGACGATGAGGCATTAGTGACACGACCCGTCCCGATCACCCTAATGGATCCGACACGTGTCGTGCGCCGATGGTAGATACCAGCTAAATGCCGGACCCACCATCAAGGCAAACTTGACATGCTTTGACTGTTATAATTTTATAAAAATTTCGGCAGAGTTTCCTCTAAAAAATGGACTAAAAACCACCTGAAAATAAACCAAAAATCCCAAACATATACACATACTCTAAAATAGGGTACACTAGCCCATCAAAATACTAATTCTTCAAGGAGTTGTACTGAAAAAGAAATTTACCATTTCAAAACATACACAAAATAGGCAATGGGTATGAGACTTAATACATTTTTTATACAAAATACATTAACCCCCAAAATATATGCTGTATGAATTAACAAAATGAGACATACAAACAAGGACACGATGAAGCTCAACTCGTCAACGACAGGCTCTGATATGACTCAACGCAGCTTCTATCTGATAAGAAATGAGGTGACAAAAGTATGAGCTTGCGACTCAGTGAGTGGATATTTGTAAAAGTTATACTTTAACATTTATAACACCTTTCTAAATACTAGTAAATAGTAAAAATTTCCTTTCACAATACGTTAAACTAAAATCTTCATTCTTTCAGCTGAATCAACTAAATACTGTAAAATCTATTTCTAAAATCTGACAAGCTATGTAATACTGGAACATCACACCAAAAATGTACCCTGAATAACCATACTCGTGTATCGATTAATCTCGATATACATAGCAAGGTCATTAAATTCTGAAATTCTGTAATTCTGAAATTCTGATCATACGTGCGCAGCGCTATAAAATGGTCATACACTATGGAAACACATTCACAATAGTGCAGAGCGGGTAAAATCACTATACTGATCATACGCTGTGGAAACACATTCACACTAGCGCAGAGTGGGTAAAATAACCATATGAAGTCATACACTGTGGAAACACATTCACACCAGTGCAGACGAGGGTAAAATCACTTGGGTACTTTCTGGTGGTTTTAAAAATAACTTTGAATATACTGAAATATTTAATACTAAAATAATATGTCAATGAAAGGATTTTATTGAATTGAATTTAACTTTTAAAAACATTTGATAATAAAATTCGTTTTATTCTAAAAAAATCATGCTATCAACTCAACTTATAAAATACGTAACTTCAAAATTAAATAAATACTTATTTCTAAAAAAAATAAACTTATCCACTCACATAACACAAGCTGAACCTAAACTGGTCGATAGGCTCTTCCAACTTCCTCGTCACCACCTGGAATACATAACAAGATGGCTAATCAACTACTATTAAATTAAGAAACTTTAAAATCTACTTCTATAATACTTAACCAAAATTGGTCGATGCTCGAATAAATTCCCAAATATTCTTTTGATCAATGGAGCTAATCCCACTTTCTAATCCCTTTCTAATAACTAATTTATCAACAAAACCTTCTTCCCAAGTTAAAACAAATTTTACTTTCCAATTTAATGAAACTAGTGACCATAATTTCCACCCATCTAATATACATTTGCTCATTAAAATCAACTCCCAAATGAAATATTCCATTTAGATAATCACTTCCACAATTAATTAATTAAAATCCCCAAAATCGGATTCTAGGGTTTCCAAAATTTTCATTGCCTAAACACCTTGTTAAAATTGAAACATAATTAATCCCTAAGCTTGAGCTCCAAATCGTACATATATCACATAAATTTAACATTTTATTATTACATGATAAAACCCTAAAAATTTTAATATAAACCATACTTAATCATCTAAGACAAATGGAAAAATTAAACCCAACTTGAAGATATCAACCTTACCTCCTTTCCTTTTCTTTTTCCCCTTCTTCTTCCTTTTTCTTTTCCTTTTTTCCCTTTTTCTTTTCCTCTTTTTCTCTTCTTTCTCGGCCGGTTCTGCTTCCCGTATTGTGTGTGTGTGTTTTGGTGTAAAATGAGAAAAAAAATGGGTCAAAGGTTTGAATTAATTTGTCCACAATCCCATAATTGCAAATTAAGTCCCTTAACTTTACTTTTTAGTAACCTTTAATCCTTAAACTTCCAAAAGTATATAAATAAATTCCAAACTTTTAAATATATCCAATTCAACCTTCATATTTTGCCAATTGCAAAATAAATCCAAATAAAATGATTTGGTCAATCAAGTCCCAATAAAAATGATTTATTTCATACAAGTCTTCATTGGACTTGATTTTGAAAATTTCACTATTGATTTTGACTAGATAAAAATGTGGGTTGTAACAATTAGCCTCCAAGGAACTGCCAGTTCATCAACTTGTCCTTGTGTCTGAGTTTTCATTGGATGAACCTTAACATCCGTAATTGGTCCTGAGTTTCCAAAACAGCTGTCCAGAATGGTATCTGACATGTACACATAGCCATCTGTTTTTCTCAACCTCGACTTCCTTTTTCGTTTTAGCTGACACTCAAAAGTGCCTAACGGAATCAACGCATCAGTGATAGGAATATAAAGGTATCTATACACTGATTACATGCAAAAACCAGGGATATTAGCCAAATCTATAAATGTAAAAATATTTAAAATTACCATTTAAAATGTGCCCAACATATGTATTATGTTTCAAAGGTATTTTTAGTGACATTTTTTTGCAAAAAAATTTTTTTACTAGTTTAGAAGTCACTTTTTTGGGAGGGCATTTTAGATTTAAAAAAAAAAAAAAAAATCTTTACAAAAGTATCTACTTATTTTCTGAGAAAGTACTTAACTTTCTTTTATGCTTACCCAAACATACTCAAGTTTCTTAAAATAAAATTAGATGTATGTGCAAACCACTGGACATGGAATTCCTTCTCATATGTATGGGCATTCAAATTGTACAAGGTTTAACTAAAAATGAGGATTAAACAGTTGGAAATTGGGAAAGGTTAATTAACACGTCAACAGTTGCCTCCAAACAGAAATTTCACTATTAGCGTGTTTGATTTGAATCCTAAATGTAAGTAAAATTTATTTTTAAGCTTACTCAAACTTGCTTGATCGTGTCTACCTCACCTTTTGGGATTATTGGAAAATGATTTTTTTTTTTTTTCAAACATTATGTCACTTGTATAAAGGATATAGACATTAATACAAATATTAGGATCATATCTTTGGTGAAACAACGTGGTGTTATATGTAACATAAAAGATAATCCCAAAATTTAATAAAGCCTAATGGTTATGAATTTATTTATACCTTACCACATATTGAATTGCATACGTGCAACCAAATCATACCTGAAGAGAGAACCACATGATGCGGCTCCTCAATTGATGCTACAGATGCCGACAGTTCTTCTGCTGAATCCAAATAATCTTGAAAACTATTGGAATCTTTGTCAAAATCTTCACAAGCACTTTCAATCTTAAGTGCATGAATAATGGCATCAGCTCTGCGGGCATATCTGCCTGCCGTCTTCTTTGATGAATTCGATGCGGATGCCTCAGCTTTCCGAATGCATGAATCGTACTCCCCACAACGAAAAGCTTTAACTCTTTTGGATGTCTCGAGATTATACCAGTCCCTGAAAGAAATTTGGCAAGAATACAAATCAAATTATTTTACAGATTGAACTCAAGGATCTTTTAAGAAAAATAAACATTGAGCAGAAAAAGAAACTAAGTAATCACTAAACATATCCTGCAAAATGAACAAAATCTATTAATTTATTGATACAAAGAAATGGACTTCTTATGGATAGTTGTCACTATTGCATATCAACTTGTCCTTCTAATGGTCTGAGTGCAAGACTCTACAGGTTTTTAAGAAACAAGAATTTACCAACAATTGAGTATTTACATGTAATCTTAGCCAAACATGCTCCAAAAACAGACTCATCTGCTCAGGATTGCAATGCCTGTTGCCTCGCTTGTGACAGATAAAATTATCTCGAAGCTAGAGTCAAGTACTTAAAACCAGAGTCCCCATTTACTCAAACTTAATGTAGAAGGATTTAAAAGACACAACAATCATACTTAAACGTGAAATAACCTTCAGGACCATTAACATTCCATTGATATGAGAGAAAAAATGATTGCCGAATAAAGCTAAACATTACAAAAATTATTGCCAATGATACAACAGAAACAACGATAGCCAAATATGACAAAATGTTACAGAAGTTTGCTACCAATGATTCGAAGGTAACAACTGGAAAACCTAACTTTCAAGCATTTATGTCCATTTCACACTCTTATTAACCTTAGTTGGGGAACAATTGCCATGTATGGAGTCATGACAAAGCACACGAAGAGAATACGATGGAATAAAACTCTTGTTTTATATAGAAAGAAAAATATTTGATCCAAACCATTTATAAAAAAAATGTAATCAAAATTGTTTTTTAGCAATGAATTTAAAACTGAAAAAGCCATTTTGCATGATTTCAAATTAAATGAAACTATTATGTCATGGCTAACACTTTATAACAGACGTCACATGGTGAACAAATTATAGGTCATAACCTTTAATTGTAAACATGAAAAGAGGCACTTACAAACATGCGTCTTCTCTCCCAAGGAGCTGTATAGGTGTCCCTGCTCTTGGCGCAGGCAATATGGTCTCAGGCAATTCATCTGGCTTCAGAATCTGACCTGGCCACCAATAACCATTTTGCCTTCGGACCCAAACCAACCCGCCCACCGACGCATCAATGGCCTTTTTTTTTTTTTTTGTCATGAGCAGAACTACCCATGTTTCACAATTCTGGAAAAGAAAATGAGGTCTATGAAAAATTATGTAAAGTTGAGTCATTGGATGTCAAGGGCACACTCAGTGGACTCCTCAAAATAAAAACACAAGGTATATATCATACCCCTGGAAAATGGAATCTTAGTGACAGAGAAAAAAAGAGAAAAGAAAAACAGATGTTCTACAAATGCAATTTCTTACATGCAATTTTTTAGGCTTCCCCATTGCACAAAATAACATTTTAAAAGAGTTCTTTCCTCCAAAAAATTGAAGTCAGTCTGGAAAATGTATTTATTTTACATATATACAAATAACAACTTTAAAAGGAGAGGATTTCACATCGAAGAATCTTCTTGTAGCTGCAAAAGAAGAACAAGAAAACAGAGAAAGAAATATTTCTTTTTCATGATTTCCATTTGAACAATAGAACAGATAAAAACCTTTATATCTAAAAAATTCAAGACAATCTTGAAATGTATTTTCACACATACACACACACATATATATATAAAGAGAGGATTTCACATCAAAGAATCATCTTGCGGCTGTAGAAGAAGTACATGGAAACCGGGAAAGAAAGAATTTTGTCGGTTTGTGCATGTGTTTTCATATGCAACTTTTTTATATGGAAATTGATCTCTTACAAAATAAAATAAAATAAAATAAAAATCCTGAAATGCATTTTTTTTTTCAGGATTTCCCACTGCAAAAGAACATATAAAAACCTTCAATTTCCTCTAAAAACTTCAAGTCAATCTTGAAATGTATTTTTCACATATACACATAACAAAACTTTAAAAATAAAGGATTTCACATCAAAAAAATCTTCTTGTGGCTACAGAAGAAGTACAAGAAAACTAAGAGAGAAATATTTTTTTTAATGACGTGTGTGCTTATGTTTACGTTTTTTTAGAAACTGCTCTTGTACAGAAAAAAATTCTTAAATTGGATTTTTACCGAATATCCCTTTGTGCAAAAGAATATGTAAAAACCTTTATTTTCTCTAAAAAAAATTCAAGTCAATGTTGAAAATGTACTTTTTCACTTATATACGTATAACAACTTTGAAAACACAAGAATTTCACACCAAAAAATCTTCTTGTGGCTACAGAAGTACTATAAAAAAGATTTATTTTTTTTTTTTCCGGAGGGTGTGCATTTTATATTTATATTTCTGGCTGCTTGTGTGAAAGTATTTAAAAATATAGAGAAAGAGAACACTTTCTAGAAAATGGTAATGAAACATACCTTTGGATTCTTTTATGCCAAAACACACATACATTGATCTTAGAGGAAAAAAATGAATTTTTTAAAGGGGGGGGGGGGGGGGGGGGGGGGGGGGGGGGAGTGGGGGTGGGTGTGTGTGTGTGTCTATAGATTATAGAGAGAAGACGCTCTCACTCAGATGGAGATAGAAATAGAGAGAATTAAATTATATTGGATGATACAGTCTAGGAAATGAAACGTATCTATTGACTATAGAGAGAAGATGCTATATATGAAAAAAATAAAAATAAAAAGCAAAAAAATTCAGTCAGCACTAATTAATTTTGGTACAAGGTATTAAATTTTAATGGGTGATACAACCTAGAAAACTTAAAGTTTTTCCCTTCTTTGGTCATACTGGATTATCTTTTTCATATACCAAACATGTTGAAGAGGTGTTACGCCATTAGAACTGGTACAAGAGTACTTGTCCCGAGTGCATGCTAATGGGCCACATTTTGCATAAAAAAATTATGTAATTACACTTGGTAAGTCTCGTTCGGTTATCGAGCTGAGAAATCATTTACCGTACAGGCTCTAATATTAATTGAGTGGTGAAATTAGGGGGGAGGGGGGGGAGCGTGTAAATGAACTGGATTTCACATGTGATTAATGAGAATCCTAGTGGTAATTTATGCTGTGTTTGTTTGGTAGAGTGATTGAGCATAGAAATCAATATATGTACCTATAATAATGGTATATATATGATAATCGACCAATATGCCATTATGTTGATCGTCAACTACTGTGATGCTCTACATATAGTGAGTCTTGAATGACCTAGAGAGTGTTATTCTAGTAAAAAGACTAGTTATGCTAGTCATGTCATCGAGAATATGGATAAATGTGGAGTTGATTTCAAAGGAGTGGATTATAATTAGGCCTTACATCACGCATCACTATGAGTTTATAATCACTTGACTGCCCTCAGTTTTATAGTAACTTTTATTTTAATATTTTCATCAAAACTCAAATAACAGAAGTTTTAAACATCAAAGGATATTATTTGTCAGAAAATTGATTCTTTTCAAATTTCTTTTGACTGAAGATTTAATTTTTTTATGTTTTATCCTATCCTCGTACTGACTAATTCCATTTATCATTTTCAATATAT